ATTTATATTTAAAAACTAAAATTTTTATTCAAAATTTAAAAAACTATTCCTTTATACTTTAGATTTAAAAACCGATCGTATATTGTAGAATAATAGTAAGGGCACTCGCCCACTAGCAGTGTCTTCCACACTTACACGTTGCAGTAAATTTTGAAAGAAAATAGATATCAACCGGTAACCTGAAACTAACGGTTACCTATTTATCTTTAATTTTGTTTTTTTGCTTCACTTTGTACCTCTTCTATTTTTCTTTGATCAAATGATAACGGTGATTTGACCAAAAAGAGAAAAAATTTTATTTATTTTATAAATATCAAAGTATTATTGTTCCAAAAAATTAATATCATATAATATTATTATGCATTAAAATTTAAATTATTTACCTAACTCAAAAATATTATATGGTGATTTGTCTCTTTTTTTATTAGAATAAATCTATTTCCTACTAATAAACTTGAAAGATAAATTTGAGTATTTTACTTAATAAGATATCACCTAGTGATTTTTATGTTTATTAACGTAACAACTAGTATATATGTACCTTACTTACAATATAATTTAAAAAATTAATTTAGTACAATTTACAAATTATTTTAATTGTAAATGAAAGCCACATGTATTATTGATAAATAAAAATATCACTTAGACTTAGTTTAGGAGTGTTAAACTGTAATTTTAATTGTAAATTTTTTAGTTTTTTAATATCTTAAAAATATATTAAATATATTTAATACGTGAAAATAGTATTTATCTAACTTAAATATTAAAAATTAAGAGGAAAATAATTTTAAAATTACATTATTTTTATAAATTTTCATTAAAAAAAGCTAAAATATTGTATTTTTAAAATATGAATTACACTAATTTTAATTTTTTTGGGAATTAAAATTGATACACATTGATATCTGTATATAATATATGTAGTGTAGTGCAAGTCCTCTTTCTAAATTTATTTTTAGAGAACTTTCTAAAAACATAGTTCATAATTAATATTTTTAAAAGTTAGCTATTGGATTAAATATTTTATTTACATTAATTATATATATTAATTTTTA